CCCCGCCCCGCGGCCCGGCCAGGGGCTGCCGCCGCTGCCGGTCATCGCCCTGCCTGGGGTGGACGATTCCTACCCGCCGCAGAAGAAATCCTTCATGATGATCAAGTACATGCACGACCACTACCTGGACAAGTACGAGTGGTTCATGCGGGCGGACGATGATGTCTACATCAAAGGTGATGCTGGGCGCCCACCTCCCCTCCCCACCCCACATGCTCAGCCCCTCCCTGGGCACCTCCCGCGGCTGCCAAAGCGGGACCCGCTGGACTGGGGGGAGAGGCCCGTAACCACCCACTAGGATCGGGAGAAAGCAGCAGCAACCCACGCCCATGTCGGTCCCCTCTTCCCCACTTTCCAGAGCTGCCAAACTGGGGCCACCCATAGGAGGGAGAGTCCGAGACCCGTAGGTGGAGCGGGGGACTTTAGCTTATGGGAACGCACATAAGTAACCGCTCAAGCCTTCTCCCAGCTCCTTTAAAACTAACCCGCTAGGCGAGCGTCCTTCTTTGTGTGCCAGAGCCCGCAAAAGAGTGAGAGTTGGCAGCGGGTCTGACCCCTCCGTTTTCCACGCCCCCCTCCCGTGGCCTGGCAAACACACAGCACCTGTGTCCCTGTCTGTCTGTCTCTGCTTAATTTATCCAGCGCTTTGCGGAGCCCTGGGAGCGATCCCTAAAAGCTAAATCTCCATTGTTTAGCTGCTGGGGACAACGCTTCGGCAGGGATCTACAGCTAGAAACGGAATTGCCAGCACAGGTGTCAGAGGGATTTTAGTTTTGCGGATGTGTAGGCGGTGAGGTCTCCGCTCTCGGCCCCCGGGGCTTGAGAAAGATGAATGTATAATGCAGGGGTTTCGCCTGGCACCTAAGTCCTCTTTTATAAAAGAGCTCTTCGATGTTATCCCCGGGGTAGTTCAGAGACATGATACACGAGGCAGTCGTGTTGCCTTTTTTTCTTCTTCCTCTTTCGCCCCCGAATCGCGGGACAGTAGCAGCTGAATGCAGTTTTATGTGCAACTGGCCGTAATATTGTATAGGAATGTTCCTATGATCTTTAAATAATGATTCCTTCAATGTGCTAGTAACTTGTTCATTACTCATAGAAGTCAATATTAATCCTCAGATCTGAGATGCGCACTGGTATCCCAGCACATTGACACTTAAGAATGAGGATACTTTTTAGTACTAGCATACTTGCTAAAGCAGTTGCTTCCGTCCCTGAGTAGAGGGAAGCATCTACCTGGCTTTTGTAATACACGAGGATGATATATCCAGTCTCTGAGGTTTTTAAAACAGTTCCCTTGAAATGCTTTTCGCATCCAGAGGAACATCCATTTCTATCAGTTTTCCTAGGTGTTGTGGGGTTAACCTCACTTCTCACTTCCATTTGCCTTTATTCGGGTGTTTTCCAAGTGATGAATATTATACCAGGGCACAGTAGTTGGAACTGTAATCTAGTTGCATAGTGAAGGCATTTGGTGGGCCCGGAATACCTTAAGGGTAACAAAGATGATGTGCTGGAAATTATACTCAAAGACCAATCAAATGCCTCACTGTTTGAAGAAAATATTTATTATTTTAATGATGTGCTGTGTGCCTGACTTGAAGAGGATCCTTACTGCAGTTTGGGCACTTACTTTGATCAAAGGAAAGAAACCTGTTAGTTTTCACCAGTTGCAGAATTTAAGATGAACTTTAGGAAAGAGATTAAACCCAGGTTGGTGGGAACTTGGTTGTGCTTTTCACGATGTGTTTAAAGCTTCTCACATAACTATGCAGCCTAAGGGTGGCAGTCCGTCCTCATCTTACTCTTCTGTCTACAACTATTGCTTCTTACAAGGCAGGTAGTGTTCTCCATTAGAAACTCACCCTACTTAGGTGCAACAGTCTTACGTTAAGGACTGAATTTGGATCTGGCTAAAGTAATTTTTTCAAGGCTTAATTTTGTTAAAATGGAAAAACATTTTAATTTACCTTTTGCTGCGTTTAAACATGCAGCTTTTTTATAAAATTTCTTTTGGTTGTTCCACACATCCTTTGAATCCAGTATTTTCTTTTATTGGTTTTCTCCATTAATGTTGCAAAGGTTCCTTGCCAAGCCTTTGTCATGCTTTGCAGAGTATTTGCAGCATGCTTTCTTTTCAAGTTTTTAGTACCACTGGGAAATGTCCTCCTGATATATGCTGCCTTACAATGTATGCTGCTGCTCCTTAAGGAAAAATGCTTTTGTTCTGACAAGCAAAAATTCCTCACCATCAAAGGATTGTGTATTACTAGCATGAGAGCTCAATTTGCAGTGCCTATTAGAGATGTTATGGAATGTAGCAATTTTACTAATAACATATAGGATATTTTAACTATTTAATTTTGTCACTTCATTTGCTTTTTAAAATGACTTTATGGACTACTTTGCTACATTTCATAACTGTATATATGCACATTCACATTTTACACAATAGAAGTAATACAGAAAGAAAAAACTGCCACTCTTCTTTTATACTCATCTGTAACTTTGGAAGCAACCATTTTTTTCTAAATTGTTGCAAGGCTAAATTTATACCAAAATCAAACTTCAACAAAATGTTGACTCCTCATGAACTCTTCAAAAATAGTAGGCAAGGTCTCAGAAGGAGAAACTGATGTCCAATTATCTTTTGCTGTTCTGCTCTGTGTGATTGGAAACATCTGAACAAGTGGGTGAACAGTGGTATAGACTTTGGGGAAATATGAAAGAATATTTGATAAAGCAGGTAAAATTGATTACACCATTTGTATTTTTAAAATGAACCCCATTAATTTCTGGAATGATTTAATAGGTGCTGGAACTAGAGATGTTGCCTCCCTTTGGTTGAAGTGGTTTTCGTTATATACAAAGTTCACATTTTATAATATTTTCTCCATCCCCACTATACAAACTGTTCCAGCATTCTGACATGATTTTCTCCATTTGGGATAATATATCAATGCAGATATTGTCCATGTAAGTTTGATAGGATGTCAGTTTGTACAGCTTTATTTTTGTAAGTAACCTGCACTAGGCAATGGTGTTCCAGGAGAGCTATGCTGGCAAACCATGTGAGTGTGACACACATTTTATACTGGGTAAAGAATGTATTTTTTCTCTAGATAACTGATAGCAGCTCCCCAAATGTAATTAACTATAGCAGCAAAAGTACTTTTTTGTTAGTACATATGTATCTACATTAATGCTTTTGCTGATGTAAAAATGTCATAAAACTTATTGTGAGATAAGAAGGTAGGTCAGATATGATTTTTTTTAAATTGTGGTTTGGAACTACATTAGACTAGTACAGAAAATAACATCGAAGGTGCATCTTACATTTAAAGAATGCAGAGAACTAGATAACTATTAGAAACTCTTAAGGAATAATGCTCTCCTTTTCTCTTCCTAGGGGAAAAATTGGAGGAGTTTCTTAGGTCACTGAACAGCAGTAAACCTCTCTATTTGGGGCAAACCGGTTTGGGAAATATTGAAGAACTTGGAAAACTGGGGCTTGAGCCTGGAGAGAATTTCTGCATGGGAGGGCCAGGAATGATCTTCAGTCGAGAAGTTCTCAGAAGAATGGTGCCACACATAGGGGAGTGTCTTCGAGAAATGTACACCACACATGAGGATGTGGAAGTGGGAAGATGCGTCCGACGGTTTGGTGGAACCCAATGTGTTTGGTCTTATGAGGTAAGTAGTAATGGATAAGTCATGAAGGTATTAATACACAGATTTCTAAATGAGAATGTAAGTAAATATATCTCTAATCTTTTCCCCTCTTTACTATTTTTAAGTGCACATATACTGGGATATAAATTACTATTTTAGAAAGATTCTTAGCACCTCATAGCTGAAAAATATTTTGATTTATTTCTACCCATAAATACAAGTTGTTTTAAGGTGCCAGAGAGAACTCATATCAATAAGAAGCTGTATCATAAATATGTCATGCTACATATCATGGCTAATTATAAAACCAACTTTTAGGTTTATATGCATTAGTTATACAAATTGCAGTTGTAGTAAACATGCATATTAACATTCAGAACTTTTTTTCTGATTGGACAAGACAAAGATATTCTGTTCAATCAGTCATCAGATTGTATACATCTCTGAGTTTTTCAGCAATGTTATTGTGATGTTAAAAGCACAGTAGCATTTATTATTTTCCTAATGGTTCAGATGTACTTTTAATAAAGAACTGTTTGTGTGAGAAAGCAAAAGTGGTATGATTACTTTTTTCTGGGATCGAATAAAATAGCGTTTGACTAAGAATATATCACACTAATAGATACAGATAGCACAACAAATTATAGACATAACTCATTATAGACAAATTATAGATGTAATTAAGGAGCAAATCAATCCTCTAATATTCAGTCAAGTTCTTAAGTAAAGGTATACAATCAACTACTAAAAATTTGGTTGCCATGTTGATATTATATTTTGCAAAACTAAATCAATCTCTATAACTGTTTTATTAGGTATAAGATTGTTTGGCGATAAAAATATAGACTTAGAATACATGGACAGGAGTGATAGCTGATAGGGGGAATATCATTTAAGCTATTTTGACTGGTTCTTCAGTATTAATGTATTTTTACCCTTGTGGCACTATCTCGTTAAACAGGAAAAAAATCATTCCAGTAGGCCAGTGAAAGAGGTTATGTGTCATTAAAGACAAAAAGGCAGTAAAGTAATTGGTTTTGTGTGTTACTATTTTTCAGAAAGCTTCAGCTAAATCTTGTGGCCTGTTTAAAATGATGTTGTGAAGCTACATTCGATGTAAATAGACAAATAACAGTATTTCTTTAATGGTTATAAATCTCTGCTTAGAAAAATATTGCTTACAGGTGATGGGAATTTCAGATTAACGACATTATTAAATTAGTAAGTGTGTTTTGCAGATTAATTTTTGAGAACATTGTGTGTTACAGTGCATAAAATACATTAGTTGTATAGAAAAAATGCTTTAAAATAATGGTGTGCATCATACAGATGGATGTGAAACTTTGACTAGGACTCTGTAATCACCATTTTAATCAATCCACTAAGTTTAGGTTCCAGAGCATGCTTTCTGATCTATTTGGGCTAAACCTACACAAGACACTATTGAAGTCTGCAGGACTTTGTCGGTGTATGGGGATCTGTTGATCCAAGCATAACAGAATGTGGATGGCTCATTCCTAACAATGGCATTTTGTGAAATTGTGGTTCCATTTATGGCTTGTGCATCCTCCTTTGTTGTCTTTGCCAGCTTTCTTGGGAAAAGATTAACCTCAAATTAGAAATATTCTTAAGATCCCTAACTGTAGCCTCTTAGTTGAATTTTATATTGGTATCGCATGTCAGGAATACTTAACTCCTTGCCATAAGTAGCATACTGTTGTTATATTTTAACTTCCTTTCTTCACTGAGCTCCACACAAGCACCATTATCTTGGGGATCAGGTCAGGATTGTGGCCTTAAACTATATGATTTTTGGGAGATTGGTTCACATGATTAATGCAGCACCTAGAGGAATATAATCCGCAATTCTGAATGGGACATTTGGGTCAACTATATATAGATATAGATATGAGAAAAACTGAGAAGTAAATGTTTGATACTGTAATATTAAATGGTGTCCTAGTATTAAAAGAATTTTATGTTCCTTCATATGCAAAGAATTTTAAAATACATATAGGATTAAAATGAACCTTTTGAGACAATGCATTAGTTCTGAATTGCTAAATACTAAAGTTATTTAAAAAGAGAGGAAATGAAATGAGTATAAATTCTGCATAGCAAACCAAGGTGCAGTTATTTCTAGGTATGAGAAATGCATGTATTATCTGTTGATCGATTTAGATGTGCTGGGAAGTAGGATGGGATTTTTAAGATGGAAAAAGAGAACTGGTCTCTAACATATTTTAAGTCACATTGTGACATAAAATATGTATTAAATTTTATGAAAGAATTTTATTGAAACATTTAAGAGCTACTGGTAACACATTTTACAATGGCTGTGTGAATGGGTCTATTATTATTTTACTTCTTTCCAGCTTTGCTATGAACTGCTGTATAGCTGGAGACATAATGCTCCCCTTTCAGCAAAGCCCTAGATAGTCTGATAAACAAAAGGATCGTTAGGTTCCATATGTGCTTTGGAACACATCTTCTTTATTATGTGTAGTAGTTTGTTCAAGGTATAGGGTCTAATAACATCCCTCCATTGATGCTATTGTTGAAAGTAGTTAAATTAGATTGGCCTGTGTGGTAGCTTTTTCATCCTAGTGGATTGAATAGATTTTTGTTGTAGTAATATAATGTGATGGTCTACTCCTTTATGATTTTCCTTAGAATAACAAGCTATTTCACATATTAAGGCACCATGGGACTACTCGTTATTTTTAGAAAAGTTAGATGCCTTCAAGTCACCAGAGCCTAATGAAATGCATCCTAGAATACTGAAGGAGCTGATTGAGGAGGTATGTGAATTATTAGCTATCATCTTTGAAAAGTCATGGAAGATGGGAGAAATTCCAGAAGGAAATATAGAGAAAGGGGTAAATATAGTGCCCATCTATACAAAGGGAAATAAGGACAACCCAGAGAATTACAGACCAATCAATTTAACATCTGTGCCAGGAAAGATAATGGAGCCTCTAATTAAGGAATCCATCTGCAAACATCTGGAAGATAAGGTGATAAGTAACAGCATGGATTTGTAAAGAACAAATCATGTCAAACCAGCCTGGTAGCTTTCTTTGATAGGATAATGAGCCTTGTGGAGAAGGGGAAAGTGGTATCTGTGGTACCTAGACTTTAGTAAGTGGTACCTAGACATTAGTAAAGCATTCGATATAGTCTTGCATTACTTTCTTATCACTAAACTAGGGAAATACAATGTAGATGTGGCTATTGGAAAGTGGATGCATAACTGGTTGGATAACCATTCTCAGAATAGTTATCAATGGTTCACAGTTGTGCTGGAAAGGCATAACAAGTGGGGTTCTGCAGGGGTCAATTTTGGAACTGGTTCTGTTCAATATCTTAATCGACAATTTAGATAATGATATAGAGTAGGGATGTTAAAACGTGTTTATTAAAGTAAATATGTAACTGTTGAAAATTTCAGCAGTTACACATTTTTTGTTAGTCTCTAAGGTGCTGTAGGGCTACTCGCTATTTAAGTTTTTTCAGTTACAGACTAACGTGGCTACCCTGCTGAAGCAGTTACATAGTTACACGTGGAGAGTGGGAGACACAGTCTGCTCCCTTGGGAGCTGGTGCATGTGGGGAGCCAGCTTTTAAGCCAGCTCACTGCAAGCACTGGCTACTGCCTCCCAGCCACTGATTTGGGGGAGGGGACATGGGTGAGGGAAGCTGCATGTAACTGTTCATGTTAACTGATGAGCCCAGGCTCATCAGTTAACTATGTAAATGGTTACACTATCACATCGCTAGTATGGAGAGTACACTTATAAAGTTTGCAAATGATACCAAGCTGGGAGTGGTTGCAAATGTTTTGGAGGATAGGATTATAATTCAAAATGATTGGGAAAAACTGGAAAAATGGACTGAGGTAAATCGGATGAAGTTCAATGAGAACAAATGCAAAGTACTCCATTTAGGAAGAAACAATCAATTTCACACCTACTAAATGGGAAGTTACTGTCTAGGAAGGAGTACTGTCAGAAAGTAATCTAGGGACCATAGTGGACAACAAGTTTAAATATGAGTCAACAGTGTGGCACGATTGCAAAAAAATCCAAAAATCATTCTGGGTTGACTTAACAGGAGTCTTATGTAACAAGACATGAAAAGTAATTCTTACAATCTACTCTGCATTGATTAGGTCTCAACTAGAGTATTGTGTCCAGTTCAGGCACCACATTTGAGGAAAGATGTGGAGAAATTGGCAAAGGTCTAGATAAGAGCAACAAAGGTGTTTAAAGGTCTAGAAAACATGACTTACAAGGGAATACTGGAGTAAAGAGAAGGGTGAGAGGGGACATGATTACAACTTTCAAGTAACCTAAAATGGTGTTTCAAGGAGGATGGAAAAAAATTATCCTCCTTAACTTCTGGTAATACGACAAGAAGCGATGGGATTGCAGAAACATATTTTACTATATTATGCTTTATTACACCAATGACAAAGAGAACAGGTTATATAGTCCATTTTTCATCAGAGAGGAATGAGCTTATCAAAGGTCTTTTCTTGTGTGTGGATCCTGGGAATGTTCTAAAAAAGAGAAGGGTGTGTTGGGTGGTTGAAGGATGTAATTCCAGGTGCTGGTGCTTTTTTCTGATTTGTGGTTATTTTTCCAAAGCAGCATACTATCTTTTCTAGAGCTAGTATAGTACATATGCATAGTAAATCATTGTGGGTGTACAGGCAGTTGAGACGATGGTGTTCTAAAAATATATCGGTTCACAGTAATTAGTTCCACTTCAGGGATGTTTATTACAGCTGACCAGTGCTCACTACTGACTTTGTCTGGTTAGCAAGTGACTGGTAAATGTTCTACATCATGTAAGTTATTGGGGCATAGTGTTATACCTGTGGCGTCAATGGTATAATGCCAGGGCAAATCTTGGTCTATTTGGTTTAGGGTAACTTTAAAAATACGTAATTTCGAATAACATAGATAAAGTAGACAGCAGTCTTTTAACCCAGAACTTTTAAACAATGGAATCTGTTA